ATATATATATATAAGCATAATTATAAGGCTACGAAAACCAAACGAATTTTATTTTATAGTGATTATACACTTATATAAACATATTAATGGGATAGACCTTTAACACAAAGGTCTATCTCTGTAAGGATCCTTTCTGTGATGTTGTCAGACACTTACAACAATAACCTGAGCCCGTCAGGAGCAAAACCAAACACTCTTTAGTGGACATAAATTGAGGGTGCACAGATACCCCAAGTGGTCAAGCCTGTTTCGCTGCTGCTGACTGCAGCCCTCTCGCTCAGTACTGGACCAGTTTAAAAAATTGCTGTTCTCATTACTCACTTAGACACAAACATGTGTGATAACAGGGGCCAGGTTGAAAAATACCTTAGTTGCCCTTTAAACCTGCTAATACTGACAGGTGTCGGACGTTACTTAACACGCGCCTGACGTTATCATTGACTCGCTATCTCAATCCACTCACTATGACTAATTACTTATCTAACTGATCCACCTAAAAATAAATGATCCCGTCGTTCATGATGGATCTAAACTTTGATTTTAAGTCAAAGTGACGACAAACAGCAGTGAAGCGATGGTAGGCTCAGCTAACATTAACGTTACGTTAGCTAACTGCTAGCTACGTCCCCTTCGATAAATAAATAAAATTGCAGCATTTGTTGTAAGACGCACTATCTACACCTTCATATGTGTTAGGATAGTGCTGCCAGCCACTGTGAAAAAGCAACAGAATATGGAAAGGTAAGAGTTTATATAACAGAAATACACACTGTACCTGAGCCTGTGTTGTGACCTCTGTTTCTGGACCGAAGATTACGACAGCTAACGTTGTTTTACGGCAAAATTACGGTAATTCATTCGGGACAAAATACTAAAGGAAAACGCGATTTGACAGTGCAGCGCTACTTCTTCTTGAGAACAAGTAAATCCGTTTACAGGTAAATATTAACACATAGTGATCATTAATTGCTGTGTCATGAATGCCTGCCGTTTTAATAATGACATTATACTACTTGTGTTAGACTGGTTAAAATAAAAAAATGTGTTCATCTGCAAGAAATTATACTCAAGCCTACTACATTACTACATCAGCAACCCCATCAATGTAGCAAGGCCAATATCTTAGTTACTGAATGTTTCACTTATTGCAGCTTCATTGTTCGTGTAGTAAGTTATTTATTTCATTGGAGAAGGCCACTGAGATTATTACCTGTAAGGTAATTGGCATATAACTGCAGATGTTATTCTCTGTCTCATAAACTATAGTAACTAGTCTATACCCATTGAGTGCACAGTTGCCCACGTACAGTTTCACATGGTGTGTGTTTGGGATACAGGTCATTGGAAATTGCAGATTAGATAGTCAACTGAACCCATTAAGAAGAGCAATGTATTCAGACAGAATTTTTGAAAAACGTAGGACAGACAGAATGACACACTGACAGTTTCTGTGATTATGTACAGCATACCATACCATGATACCAAAAATTAGAAAAAACAACAACCAAACATTGGGCCACAGGGGGAGCCACAGCGATCGGTCGCATTTTAGCCATTTTTAAGCATTTTTCTGTTGTTATAGCGCCACCCAGTTGCCAATTAGAGTTAAATTTCTCCAGTCACCTTGAGGCATCCTGTTCTACATATCTACCAAGTTTAGTAAAAATCAATATGGCTGTTAGGCCTAGATAAGAAATTAGCTGTCTAGCGCCCCCATTTTGTTTGATGGGGTCAATAATGGAGGGGTCCCCTCAGATTATGTGTGGTCATTTGCCTACAAAGTTGCTTGGTGATCAGTGAAACCCTTGAGATGTTATACACCTTTATGTGATGAGCCACGCCCTCCACAATATTCATTGCCTTATAGAAGCTCAGTTTTAGTAAGTTTTCCAACTTTTGCCTAGAGGGAACTTTAGATGTTGGTCCCTAGATTATGTTCACAGAGTCTCATGCAGATCAGTCAAACTCCCTAGGAAGAGATCGACTTTAAATGTTTTTCAAAAAATTCAAAATGGCGGAAAATCTATATAACCGGAAGTTATGGGTTGTTGAGGCGTGCAAAGTTTCATGTCTCTACGACATACGGGTCATGAGATATGCCCATTCAAAGTTTCACATGGATTGGCCAAGTCAGTGAGGAGAAAAATGTGTAACTTTAGACACACAGAGTTTTCGTCATTATATAGTAAGATTATATATTAAGATAACAAGTTATTTTAATTGTCTATTTATCCTTACAAGTTACAAAATAAAGGAATCATGTTACATTAAAATATCAAATTAATAATTACTGTATTGTAGCTGTATATTAAAGACAGTCAATGTAAAGCATCTGTTCTCTGTGCATCACTGAAACATTTTACTTTCTTAATGATCATCTATGGCACAAGTCTGAGTCTTATGAAGACTTACATGATCAATTCCCTGTATAATCACAATTATAGTAACCAATATTATCATGGTTATAAGTATTATTAGGGATGTCCCAATCACATTTTTTTGCATCCGATCTGATACTTTGCAAAGCATTAAGGAAAAAAAAAAAAAAAGAATGCATCCACCAAAAAGCTCATCGGTGGTTCAGCAGTATAAAATGTAAACAAATTCTGAATTGTAAACAAACTGTCCCTCCAGAGTTGCTGTAGGGATGTGGTAGGCTAGGTTGCACCGTTAGTTGTGGCTGTGTTGCTCGGAATAAAGAGAGAAGCGGTGGCTGCTGAACCTGTTGTCTCGACTCCTGTCCATTTATTGCTCATTAGCTGCACTCAGTTAGGCGAACCCAGGACGCTCAGTTACAATACATTGGAAAGCGGAGGCAACAATGAACAACATAGATGAAAAACCTGGCCATTTTTGTTGTTTTGAGTCCTCAGATCGTTTATTACCGATTCCGATTTTGTAAAGCGTGATCGGTGCTGATAGCTGATCCGTGGACCGCATCGGGACATCCCTAAGTATCATCATAGTATTTTTACAATATGCTGAACATGTCCAAAAGTGACTGATACACACGCTGAAATAATTTTGTCAGTGTTTTTTAATTTAATTTAATTTTTTTTTTTTCTATTAAAAACCACAAACAAAATTAGCAGCAGTTTTTGTTTGCATGAACATTAAAATTATAACATAGCTTGTATCCTATGTAAACACATGGAAACCATATCAAATGTGCAGTAATTAACATTAGAGAAAGTCTGTCTTTGACATGCTTGCTCGAGTGTCTGTCACTGTTGATGAGGACAGGGACCAGAAGCCAGATTTGCTGCACGCCCACTCAGGGAATTACAGAAGAAACCCATGCATCTGGGAGACTGTTGCTACTTTTGGTTGATGCTGCATATTTACCGTGAGTTTTAAAAGTGCAGCAATCAAACACTTCTTTTAAGGATAATTCAAATTTGAAATGGTGATACTAACCATCAAAACATTTACTGCTGTTTATTGTGGAACCAGTAACCGTTTCAGGTCCAAGCAAAAAACCAAAGGTGATTTTAATATTTTAGCTCCTGAATCAGCCTCAGAGACACTAAATCAGTGCAAAATTTAAAATAAATCACTGCCATTTTCCTTTCCTGTTTCTATATTTAGTCTCCACTTTTAAAGCACTTTGTTAAAAGCACTTTGTGTTTACTGACAAAGGCATTGGAAAAAACATTCTACATACATTTCAACAGTTTATGTCACAGCTTATCATCCAAGAAACTAATCAGACACTCATGTTGCTAATAATTACAAACAATTATTTACATTATTTGCAATAATAACAAATCAGAACATCTTCTACCCAGGCCACTCTGGTGTCTTGTTTCATTGACTGTGTTTATGGTGCCTTTACAGCTCATGGTCCATGATGGTTGGCCAACTGTGTGTTTATGACCCGGGTTCAGACTCTGCCATAAAAGTGAATCAGAGTTTGCTTCGTGGGTTGAGCAGGTCCTTCAGAGCGTCCAGGTTCTCTCCCTCTGGAGCCTCGGGCCATGCACTGTGGTCTGGAGACGGACACACAGAACACACAACAATTTAGCATACAATATAGAATGCTGTATAGTATATATTGTGTATATATTGTTTAGATGCTATAGCAAGATGTACGCACCAGGTATCTCCCACATGGAGTGGTACAGACTCTGTCCTGCATCGACCCTTAGGGTGGCTCCAGAGATGAAGGAGGCAGCAGGAGAGAGCAGGAAACACACTGCTGATGAGATCTAAACATTCAAACACAGTTTTATAAACAAACAAACAAACAAAACAGAAGAAATCACAACAGTTTCTGACAGCTAACATGGATTTTATGGTGTGTTTTTCCATACAGCTTAGCCCATTTCACAATACAGTGTCATCAGCTATAGACAGATGTTTGCATGTGTAGGACAAGGACTTTATTAAGCACTTTAAAATCCCCCAAACAAGTGGGATTTTCAAATTGTTCTGCATATGTATTCTTTTATAGAACACTGCAGTGCATAGTTAAAAGACTTTTAAATATAACAAAGCTGCTCTTATGGAGTTTCTTTATGGAGGACGAAAATTAACTCCAGTATCAATAAATAAATGTATAAATAAAAACAGGAATGAATAAATATGGAAATAGATAAAAGTATAAATAAAATCTGAAATAAATAAATGTATAAATAAATACATAAACAATGTATAAACGAAACAAAAAATTAAAAAATCTAAAATAAATATATAAATAAATGTATAAAAAATTGCAGATATAAATAAATTTATAAATAAATGCAAATAAATACAAAAACATCTGAAATAAATAAATGTATAAATAAATAGAGGAATAAATAAATACAGAAATAATACATTCATTTTTTTATTTAACCTTTATTTAACAAGGAAGTCCCATATAATTTATTATTATTATTATCATTATTATTATTATTATTGAGATTGAAAATCTCTTTTACAAGAGAGACCTCTTGTGAATAAATGTGTAAATAAATACAAAAAAATAAAAGAAATCTGAAATAAATAAATTCAGGAATGACTAAATACAGAAATAATAAGTGTATAAATAAAAAGGAACTGAAATAAATAAATAAATATAGGAGTGAATAAACACAGAAATAATAAATGTATAAATAAATACAAAAATAATCTGAAATGAATAAACACAAAAATAAATACATACAGAAATAATAAGGTTATAACTAAAAACAAAGTGAAATAAAAATAAATACATACATACAGAATAATACAGAAATAAATAACTAAACTTGGAAATAAATGTATGCATATATAAATAAATAACACATTAAACGTATAAATAAATGCTGAAATAAATAGATAAATGCAAATAAATAAAAGTTGACAACAAAACAGCATATTAGTAAATAAATATCTTAAATTTATTTATTTCTGTATGTCTGTGTCTGTATGTTAATGAGGCGGGAGGTCCTTTACTCTGCATTTATTTTTTTTTATTTATGATTTATTTATTTTTGCATTTATTTCAGTAATTGTTTATTCTTTTATTAATTCATTTCTGTATTTTTTATACATTTTTTTATCGATACATGTCATTTTTCATCCTCCATGTTTCATGAGCACCTTTCCTCAGGGTATTGTGGGTGTCATTAGATGGTTACTCACCTCCTCTGGTACTCCCAGCCTCTTCGCAGGGCTTAATGGAATGGCCGTCTTGAAAATTGTTGGTCCAATGTCCTTGTAGTTTTCCATTGCAGTTTTGGAAAAGATTATTCCCTGCAAGCAGACAAATGGGCAGATTATAAATTACGACACAATTACAGACCTCCTCTTACACTTACTCTTTGTTAACTCATGACCTGGACTTACAGGTGCCACAGAGTTGATTCTGACTCCTGAGGCCGCCCACTCGATGGCCAGACTCTTTGTTAAGTTGTCCACTCCTGCCCTCGCTGCCCCTGTGTGTCTGTCAGGGAGATACAGTGTTTGAACAGAAGAGAAGAAGAGTGTGTGAGCTGCAAACTCGTGTGAAATTAGTGAGGTGTTGCTGCTTACGCCATGCCTGGGAAGCCTTTCCACATGTCGGCAATGATGTTGACGATCACACCTCCATGTTGTTTCATCCACGCTGTGTAGACTGTGTGGAAACAACAGCAACACAGTCACACTGAGAGCTTTGACAAACACACACTGATACTGAGAGGAAAAAAAATCAATCAATGCAGGAGTAAAAACAGGGATAAATGAATACATACATAAATAAAGTTAATATTATA